GGTGGGTGGGGGTGTGGGTGGGTGAGGGGGTGCTTGGGGGCTGCCGTCTGCTAGGTTGCCGGCGAGGGCTTGCATGCATGCATGCAGCCATGCATGCATGAGTAATTGAGTGCATGCTGCATGCATGCAATCGCACGCGTGCAGCCAGGCACGCTTGAGAGCGTGCATGCAGGCATGCTGGGTGTGGCATGCTGCCTGCACTCCCCTAGGGGCATGCGCCTGCATTGCAGCACAGCTACCAGACTTGCCAGGAGGCGTGCGTGCATGCGTCGAGGCGGCTGCAGGGAGTCTCGGCTCAGAAACATTCACGTATGATGCGCCTCACGCGTGTGCTTTCTGCCAGTCCAACCCCCTCCCGACACCTCTGTGTGTCGATGCAGGTCCTCTCAATCCTCACCCCAAATCCCACTTCTTCCCCAACCTCCCTTCACCCCACCAGGCAAGAGCAGCCTGCTCAACGCGCTCCTGGGAGAGGACAACATACTGCCGACCAACGGCATGCGTGCCTGCACAGCAAGGTGCCACCCGCGCTCGCGGGGCCTGCGGGCCCCGTGCTGCGCACGCTTGACCGTAGGCCCCTGCCCGCGCCTCCGCAAGCGCCCCTACGGCAAAGGCTTGATGGCTGGCCTCCAACCCAGAGGCACCCTCCGCCCCACCCCGGGGCATTGCGTGTCCCCCCCCCCAACCCGCACCCCTCTCCCATCCCTGACCCCCTGTGGCCCCAGCGTGATTGAGGTGTCTTACGCGGCGACAGGCCGCTACGTGGCCGAGATCGACTTTGTGTCGCGCGAGGAGTTTGACCAGCTGCTCACGCAGGCCCTGGAGGACCTCAAGGCACGATGAAGGGGGGCAGGGGGGAGGAAGTGGGAGGGCTGGTTACAGACTGCATGCGATGGTGAGAGAGGCCCTGGATCGTCTCGTCTGTGACATCAGTGTGTGGCTGCTGCCCCTGTGTAACCTCCCTGCTGCCACCCTGATCCTTCCCGCAGGACGACGACGGCGTGGTGACGGTGCAGTCGTCCATGGAGCGCAACGTGGACGCGCGCAATGAGAAGGGCGCGGCGCAGGCGGTGCTTGAGGCCATCTACGGCCGAGAGTTTATCAGGTGGCTGGCAGGGCCCGCTTGTGGTTGCCTGGAGCACACGTTCCTATACGTGTGTTGGTATGTGTGCAAATGTGTGAGTGTGTGAGTTTGTGGATGTGCGGTTCGTGTGTGCGTTGGGTGCGTTGCGCGCATGCATACACGTGCGCGTGCGTTTGCGCATTAGCAGGGGACAGCATGTCATCATCTACATGAAGTCAAGACATGCCCGGGAGACCGCTGCTTGCAGCTGCGGCCCGATTTCGCAGTGGACGCAGCACGCACACGCATTTGGTGCACCTCCCTCCATTGTACTGGCAGGAAGTTCCCCGGCTGTCTGAGCCTGGAGGCGCTGCAGCGGCGCGGCAACAGTGTGACGGCGCTGGTCGGCTGCGGCAAGCGCATCAACGAGGGCAGCGCCAAGGAATTCAGGTGCGGGCGGGTCTGCGCACAGCTGCCATCCCTGATATTGCCGGCAGGGCGCTCTTTCAGGCGTCCCCGCTGTCTGCCTTACAAGAGCTCCTGCACAGAGTGCCAATACACAGCTTATCCGGCCAGGGTTTCAGGCCGCACCCATCCTCAAACCTCCACACACCACATGGCACGAGACTGATGAGACTGGCTCTTTTCTCTGCGGCGCTCTCCCCCACAGGAAGCAGCTGGGGGTCTACGCAGACAGCCACAACCAGAGCGGCCTGCCGCAGGTGCGCGCGGGGCGCTCTGCAGGGCTTTGATGAACTGCCCTCACCTCCAGCGCTCTGCGCATGTCTCTTGATTGGCACTCCACTCCGCTCTAAATTGAAGACGCTGTCTTGAGTTGTACGTGCCGACGCGTGCACGCAGGCGTGGCCGCTGGTGCGGCTGTGCCGCATCTCCCACAACTGGGAGGTGCTGCGGGGCGGCGCGGTGCTGGTGGACCTGCCGGGAGTGAGGGACGCCAATGCCGCACGCGGGCGCGTCGCGGTGAGTGGCCACGCCAGGGCAGGTGTTAGTGCCACATTTGACTCTTGATTTGAGGGCGCAAGCCCTTGTCTGAATTGGCCCCATGTGCAGAGCTCCACTCTCCCAGCCATGGCCTCCCGCATCCATTCCCAAAACCCGCCCGTCCTCCCCCCAAAACCCGCCCCTGGTCCCCTCAACACCCCCGCCAGGAGTCGTACCTGAAGCAGTGCGGGGCGGTGTGGGTGGCGGCCGAAGTGACGCGCGCGGTCGACAACGCGTCAGCCAAGGACCTCCTGGGGTCGACCTTCAGGCGAGGCCCCGCGTCTTTGGGGGGCGGAAGCGGCCAGCTCTTCCACTAAGCCGCCCTGTGTCAACGTCCCCACTGCGCGGCCTCGCTTGTCCACACAACACGGTCATGCGTCGGCCAGCTGGAATTTGCGGCTGAAGCGCCTGCGCCCTCAAAGCCTGACATGCCGTGCCTTGGATGGCCGCCGTACCCATACCACCCTCCCTTCCCGGCTGCAGGCGCCAGATGCTGATGGACGGGCAGTACTCCAACATCTCATTTGTGGCCACCAAGACAGACAACATCAAGGCACGGCCCACGCGCGCCGCCGCCGCACACACCTCTGCCTGCCCCTGGCCGGAGAGCCGGCTTCCTGCTCACCCTGCTCAAAGCATAGCCCGCGCCACAGCCCATGCGGTAATAAGCGCCAGATGTTCACGCGGCGACCACGCCTTTCGCACCCGTCAACCCCCCCTCCCCCCAGGTCAGCGAGATCGTGCTGAACCTGGGGGCTTGCGAGATCTGCGAGCGCAGCGGCACCAGCCCCGAGGACTTTGCTGCGCTGGACGACGCCATCAGGGGGCTGCAGGGCGACCAGGAGGGGCTGGAGGGAGAGCTCACGAGGCTGGCGCGACAGGTGCGTGTTTTTGGTGAGGGGGAGGGGTGCCAGGGGCCAGGGCAGTCGAGGGCGCCTTGTGTCGGGAGTCTGCGGGTCCGCCGCATGGGTAGGCTTCTGCTGCACTGCAGGGCTTTGCGCATGCTGCTTTGCTCTCCTTGTTCTTGGCCCTTAGATTGATCCATCAAAGGCAGGGCAGCCAGGTGTGTAAGGGGTTGTCTGAAAAAACGGCCTCTGTGAGACGATTGCGACATGCTGCGACCCTCGCCCCGTCCTCCGCCCCCAGATCACCGTGTGTAACACGCGGGCCGCCAAGCGCCAGGACGCGCTGGACCTCCTGGGCATGGCGCGGCAGAGGCTGGCGCCGCCGGG